TGTGTTTTTTTTTTTTTTTTTTTTTTTTTTTTTTTTTTTGAAGGGTATTTACAGAAGTAAGGTGAGCGTAATACTTGTTAAATATGTAAAGATATGTTGTGAGAAATGTTGTGAGAAAATACAAAAAGTAGAGTAAGTCTGTATTGTGAAAGGAAGAAATTGGTTACCCGTAAGAATTTACACGGAGTTGGAAATCATTATGAGAAAGATTCAAAAGTATCATTGAATTATGATATTAAAAACTCAAAGGATTTATACTATTAATATAGAAATATGACATCGATCTTGATCCTCTACCGATGGTTACAGATATATCTAGTTACAGGTACGATTTGACAATCATATGAATTTTGAAAGAACTACAAGATTTCATTAGATATATTTCTTCCCATGAAATATTTTTCTCGATAATTTGATAATTTTATAATATAATCCTTATTAATAACGCGTAATACAGACAAATACGATGTTGTAGTTGTCTGCGGAAATTAGATTTCTAAAAATCGAGTCAAATTTAAAAATACCTGCATTAAAAGAAGTCGTGCAAGAGACGAAAGAAAATCGAACAAATTTTACGAACGAAAGCAACGAACAATTTCTCATACACTTCATTAGACAACAGTACAAAAAACTTGATAAAAGATGAATTAGGTATTTGCGTTGTCAAAAATACATTCAACGAAACGAAGAACGAAAATAGCGAGAGAAAGAACGAAGAAAAAAGAAAATACGATTAAAATATGAAAAATGGAAATATGAAATAATACGTGACGAACTAACAGAGAAAAAAAATTCTTGCTCTGTCACGGTCAAGGCGTTTTGCAGGCTGGTGTCAGTCTGTTGCTTTTCAAGGAAGCGGCGCACACGTTCGATGCGGCACACGATCGTGTATCGGAATTCGCCGTGTTCCCAGCGAAGAAATCACGTGATTATGCGAGGAACGTTCCCCGCGACTTCCTTCCCCGCATACCTGGCGTTTTTCCTCGTCGCGGTCTCGCGACTATCTCCGCGGAATTCGAGACGAGATTCGTGAGAAATAACGGGCCAATTCGAACGCTATTACACGCATTCGTATTCGACGATGCTTAATAGAATCTGCATTCGAAATGTCATGCAGTTTCTCACGGTGAAACGTATTTATGGTACGTCTGACGACTAGATTCGACAAGCCGCAGACCAATAATCAACCGATCCGTATTTCGAGTAGCCTGTCTCCTTGTTAATCATTGCTTATGCATCTCTTATTATTCCTATCATTAAAATCGAGTGTTTTCAATACGTTAACGAGCTCGTTGGATCTTTTATAAACGTTAGTAGGTTCCGTCGTTCTAAGTGCACGATTGTTTTAAAATAGACGAACTCGTTAAATGAATTATCATATAAGATTGAAGATCTTTTTCGCGGCCTTTTAAAGAAGACGAAATGATATCGGAGGCGTTGAAGAAATTAAGGTACTACTTATGGTTTATTTTTGTATATGGAAAAGGAATTATACGTACTTAAAGTTCAACATTTTTAAATTCCGCCTCAATTTTCGACAGCCTATTTTTTCTTCAAAATTGATGTTTAATGACCTATACGAATGAATACCATTCAATCATCTTCAAAGACTTCAACCGGTATGTTAATAAAATTTATACATTTAAATTTCAATATTTTTCATTTCTAAACATTATTGTATATCCTTAATTTCGTATATTTCTAATAGTCTGTCATTTTTTCTAAATATTTGTTCAATATGGTATTATTTATAGGATTAATTTAAATCCAAAATGTCCAATTTATGTGAAAATTCCTGATCATTGGAGGAATTACGATTTGCAGCTGAGCGAGCCAACGAACCACTTGGTCATCGATAAGCAGTCGTTAAACTCGAAAGACTCACCTTCTCCGAATTCTCAAAGTCCAGCTTGAACGCCCAAAGTTTCAGCCTGGCAGGCAACTCCGAGATAGAGGCCAAAGTTAGAAGAAACTGCTCGGCCGATCCCAAAGGTAGGTCAGGATTGGCGGCCTGCGCCTCTTGTATCCTGGACCTCTCCTCCTCAGTTGGCAGCATCGTTAAGAGTTTCTGTCGCGAATGGATCCGAGGACAAAGGATAGGAAACGAACGAAGAAGAAAAATGAACAGGAAATTAGAGAAATTAGAAAAACCATCGAAAAAGAACGTACGTGTGTTTCAACTGAATCACAGGGTCGACCGTGAACTAAGAATTTTGACTTTTACAGTCATAATTTTAAGGGAGATTTTTAACGAAATCGGGATTCTGAAGTACATTTCATTTCGAGGAAAAAATTAAGAAATCAATGGGGAAATGTTAAAATACTTTCGATTTGGACACAATACCATATAATATTTTTAAATAAATTGCTCTTCGTATAAGTAATAATATTCTTATAGAGAAAATAGCTTATATTATTTTGTTCGTGTAACTTATTTGAACGCAACTCAACGAGAAGGAAACATTCTTACGAAGAAAATAAATTATTTATAAATAAGACTGTGCAGATAATTTACTAAAAATTACTATATTGAATTCTAATATATACATCTCTATAAATTAATAAATATCTATTAATGTTTATTAAAGACTAGATTCGTGAAATGATAGCGAATCGAATGTAATGATCATGCCTGTTTGAATCGATTCAGATCGAATTATATCGAGTTAATTGTACTAGATATCGTATAGAATGCTTCAGAGGTCGATTCCAAGCATATTTTATCTACTATCTTCTCATAATTGCAAACACACTGAAACCAATCTCTGACAATAATCTCTAATATTTCGATCCGTGCTTGATAGAACAGAATACTATTAAGTCTATGATAAAATTCCTTTTACTTATTTTTATTCAAAATTATGAAATATTAATTCGTGTAACTTGAAAAATCTTGCGATAAAAAGAAATCTGCTAATAATCAATTTGGCTCAATGTCACACTAACAGGGATCGATATCTTGTATGTTCTTCATTATTTATCATATTATTTGAACGTAATAGCCAAAAGAACGAGATACTGAAACTACTGTAAATGCCGCAAACGTTCATTAAATAAAAGGAATGAGAAGAAACAAAAAAGAGAAAAAAAATAAATCATGCGACCTTACCTCGATACCCTCTCTGTTCATAATTGTTGCGTCCATTTTCAAGATCGCGGTTTTAATAGATCTTGGTGGAGGCAATTTGGTCATCCCGATATTGATGGCGTTTGATCGTTTATGGTCCAACACGATGATCTCCTTGTTTTTGTTCATCTCTTGCTGTTTCTATTCGACGACAAAAATGAACAAATTAGCCACTGGTAAAGAATAATGCTCGCATTGCTACAACTTAAATGACGTTCGATGGTCATGTCTGAACACTCAAAAATCATAAAATTTAATTAAACACCGTGCACATAATGGTTTTGGAACGAATAAAGGAGAGACGCGATTTCCAGCTGAAATTTTATATATTAACAAACCAGTGCAGGTCAAATATTTGCTCGCTAAGGAAAGGGAAAGAGAAGCGCGCAGGTGGATGAAAATGCGCTGAAAACGTATTTGCTGTTGATGCTGATCAATCGGTAAAATATAAAAATATCGTACACCGTCAGCGGAAACGGAATTAGTAGAACGAGTAGTTCAAAGCAAACACCACCGGTTACTGTTACGTTACCGCTGTAAATTACGCGGAAGGATAAACAGAGGTGAAATACAGGGCGAAGAGAAATCGAAAAAGAGCGTTATAATTAGCAGAGACGAGGCGATCCAATAGCTACCGCGCCGAGATTAATCACTTGAAATACCCCTTGAAGGAAAGCCAATTAGCAATTAACAATCTGCACAGAATTGAAGTACCAGCATACACACAACGGATAATTTTATTTCAGTGATTCGATCGGAGTAATGTGTAAATGAATTTACATTACCGCGTTCATTAGTACCAAGCGTAAATTAAAAAGGGAATAAAAAAGTAGAGAAAACGAAGAAAATGGTAGGAGACGCGGAGAAAAATGAAAAAGCGCGTAGAAACGAAGTTTGGAGTTAGCAAAAACCGGCGTTAAGTGAAGTTAAGAAATTAGGACTCACCTCCTGTAAAATTCCAGCATGCCATTTCGTTCATTTTTCGTGCGAGCACCAAGAATATTGCAAATAATACAAGAAAAGATTAGTCGTATTGCATTAAACCACCATCACCACCACCCAACCACTATTCACCGTATTATTATTATTATTATTATTATTATTATTATTATTATTATTATTATTATTATTATTGCGCGCGATCGTTATCACGAGATTTCGTTACTGTTGCGAACGGTATTAATTTACGACGTGTTATTGTTAAAGTTACTTCTCATTAGACTAATGGAGCCTGTAATATTATATTGTACCAAGATCGTAATCATTCGTGTGCATGATCGTCTCGTGAAATCGCTCGTGGCAAGCGCGCGTTTAACATGATGTAACATGAAGATAGAACGCAGCGTGAACGCAGTTATTATTTTTTATGAGCATTTTCTCTCTTTTTTCACAGCAAATCATTGGGATATATGACCTCGGTGCTTACAATTTAACCGTGGAAATTAAAAAATGGAACTCTCTTTATCAATATTTAAGGCGAATATCAATTTTCCCGGTAATTGATCTCTGTCAACTAGAATAATCTTTATAGTGTCTTCTAACTTCGTAGATTTTATAAGGAATATTGATAAGAATTTCAGTTAGTAATGCATTCTTACCACGAGTTCGTAAGTAACGTAATTTCGTTTCATACTTGTTCCATTGTTCCATTCGTGGTGAAAGAATTTTTTATCTTTATGAATAACTGCCTGAAATAATTCATATAGACGTTCATAATTGATAAAAGTGCAACTTGTGTTTCTGCAAATTCCAGCCTTCGTCAACAACGGAAAACCATTTACCAGAAACTTCAATTATCAAGGAAATAGCCGCTTTAGAATAAATGGTTATTTGCAAGAAAATTACCATTACTTAACACGTTGAACGCCATGGAAAGGTCAAGAGCGATTGGCATTACGCGAACTTGTCAGTAACGTCATGAGGTTTACGAGTAATAACCAATGCCAAACATGTAAAATTCGCTTGGCAGCCAACGTGTTCACTAACACTTTCTTACCGACGAAAACGTTTATATCCATCGAGCTTCGTTAAATTATTTCCATAAAATTAAAACAGAGAAGACATAGTTAATCCACTAAAGCATATCCAAAATCTTCCCGCCTAATCTATCCAACGTCTATTTTCTTAAACTTTCAACATCCTATAATTTTTCCCGATTCACATCTTCTTTTTCAAAGCTGTCCTTCATTCTGTCTCGTTCGTCTTTACGGAAGTCTCAACGGACGCTTTATCCGGCACTAATTATTGCCGGATTCCGCGAGGTAGATGTAAAGGTTCAAAAGAGTCGGGCTGGCAAAAAGGAAAAGGCTCGGAGAAAGCACGACGAAAGAAAAGGATGGAAGGAAACGGAGGCGTCTGAAGAAGCGGCGGATCACATTATGTCGGCGCGGTGCGTGTCCATTGGCTCGCGACGCGATTCAAAACGTGGAACGCGGCCGGGCAAAGCTGATAAACCCGGCATGTAATTACGTCAGCAATTAGCGACGGCCGTGTCGTTCACGTGGAATCTTTCAGTGATCGTTGAGAAGAATTTCCACGAGGCTTTTCACGCGGAAAAATTTGATTAATAATATAAAATGTACAATATACCGCAAGATCGTCTCTTCCTAACGATTCGTCAAACGATCGATTTTAATAAAGAAGAAAAAGGAACAAAGATCGAGAACTGTCGTCGTATCAGAATACAAGTTGCAGCAACAAGCTCTGTCTATCAAGTCGGCAAATCGAACGAAAAACACGCGTGAAAACGGCGAGTGAAAGGCGAGGAAGGGTGAGAAGGAAATACGAACGTGCAACGGTATTTTTATTTTCTTAAAGTTTCGAAAAACCTTCTCTTTTTATCTGCCTTTTGCTTGGTAAAACACGAAAGCTCCCGTAGGGATCGACAGATACGAGGATTCCGCGACACCGCGACAGACAGCCAGTCTCGGTTCTGTTCTGTTGCTCCGTACGCGATCGAAAATAAAGCCGTTTAGGGTAAAGCGGTTTAAAGGACCGGCGGAGAGTAACTCTGTTGCAAACGGTGCCGGATTAAACGCGTAATCCGTGTCAAAGGCATCCGGAGAAGCCGAAGCGGGACCCCTGTCGCGTTATCTGTCTACTAGATGGTTAAATGCTGGTAGAGAGTGTAACTATCTTCGGTAGGATCGACATGGTGTTAAAGATGCAAAGGTGTGCCTACTACATTATGTTATGATGAATGAAATGAAAATAGAATGCAATGTTATAGACATTGTCCTAGTTTTCTCCGATAAAACTCTGTCGCTATATTCTACGAGCATAAATAAAAGACAGATATTTATATCGTGAGATGTCACATATGGATATACAAAATATGTGAAGAAAAAAGCTAAATGATACACTTCTAATGAATGGAACCTGGAGACACGCGTAAATATCTTTGTGCAAAAGGCAAATTGTTATATTCTGTTGCGGCAATTTCGTTTGTGCTAAATTGTAACGTTTAACAAGTGCTTTCTTCTTATAGTAAAATTTATGAGTTTATTGTCAACGAATAAAGAGAGAAACTTCAAAGAACTGGCGTTATTAAATGCTACTGTAGAAATGTGCTTCATTTTTATAAATGAAATTTTTGTTTACCTTCTTTTAAAAATGACACGTGTATCCAAGTATTTAAAATCTCTATCTTAGAACATACAAGCATATTATAACAAACAACGGGTTTAAAATATAATAAGAAGATGATTTTCCTCGATCACACGTCTCTTTTACTGAAGTAACAACGAAAGATAGTTGAAATAGTTAAACATGTTAATTATATGTGTTGTATAAATTGAATACTATAACGATACTCGATTCATTCACAAACGACGAGATTTTCTAATTGCATTTAAGTAGCACAGTTGAATCAAATACATCGTACGTTTCTCCACGCAATAACTAACTATTCTTGATCCTTTAAAATTCTCTTTAAAGCGCGTGGTCCGTGAACGCGTTCAAACGTCTAAACGCCACGGTTTGAACGGTGCCCTGTGATTTTAACGCCTAAAGGAAGACGAAAAAAGAGAAGCCGAACGAAGTTCACCAAGCCTTTAATTCCTTCCGTTATCGCCGAGACACGTACGAAAGAGGTCGAGAAAAAACGAAGAAGAACTGTGTATTTAATGCAATTCGCAGCGCTCTATTCCGACCGAAACGTTCCTCCACTGTATTTAACGGTTGGCTCCGTGGTTAGTAGGTGCTCTTTATTCAAAAATATCTCGAAAGAAACTGTTTGAAAAAAAGGAAGAAAATAAAAGAAGAATTCTCGACTAGAGGTTAACGAGACAATAATTACTGGCGTATGGGGAACGGAGAGAAAGTTTCTTGGGATTGGATAATGGCTGGATGAAAATTTCGGCAAATGTTTGCTAATTAAAGCAACGGTCACGAATTAAATGAATTCCCGGGTGAGAATAAAAGATTCTATTTTAAGTAAGTGCAGCTGAAAGTCTTGTAAACGAGTGGCAGAGAATTTAGTTGCGAAAGATAGTTCTCGAGTTAGTTGTTCTTTAATACATCATTTTATAACATCGTGTCTGGTCGTAGCTTAAACTTATGGTCATGATTCGACAAAATTTAGTTTCAACCGTGATTCTGACTTTAATTTTTCAAAATACAAATCTGTAAAATGCAAGTTAGGTGTAATGTTTCAATATTTTGTATTGATACCGATCGGATATAATATCGTAACAGTGAATAGCTATCAAAATTAGAAAGAACTGAAAAATTACTAAGATAAGAGAAATATGCCGATTTCGTTGGAAAAAAATGATGTAGAAAATAAGAGAAACAGTTTCAATTGACAGAAACAATTGTTTCAATTTTACACGCGTTAAAGATATTTTGGAAAACCACGCACAGATACACGCAATATCTTCGTCGAGCCCTAAAATCAACGAATCTCCAAGAGAAAATCATCAAAATCAAGGATCGAGTAGCCCAAAAACTCTCTGACTTCGCTACTTCAAAGGATTCATCCCCTTTAACGGTGGCAGAAGCAGCCGGTTAACCAACCACGTAGCTTTGTGTATTTTGGATTGTGCATAGGCTGCCTGTGGAATTTCTGCGCGATGAAAAGCTTCTCGCGGTAGAGACAAGCGAACCGGATGCTGAACGTTCACCGTTCACCACGTGTGCCTCAAGAATCAGGCGTCGGGGAATGATTAACATCGTCGACGTCGGGCAACGTTCGCTTCCTCTCGTCGGGACAACGGCGAGAACGAAACGAAAAAGCAAGAAGATTCATGGGACGTCGGAAAGGTGTCGCTTTTTCCATCGAATACCCGCGCGGTAATTAAATTTCCTGTCTGATGGCGTGGCGCGGTGAAATTTTGTGGAACCGCGAACTAGGAGGACGATGCCGCAGCTTTTCGTCGACAGAAATAACGAAAATAAACCGTATAGAAGGTATTGTTGAAAATGGCGAAGTTATGAAGCTCGATGGAAATTCAATTACTTTTTGTTGGCAGAAGGGGGATTCGGCACATCAGTTTCGATAGTGCTCAGTTGAAAGGTTGAAAAGGCTCTCTTTTTTTCCCAGTCGCTTTGTATTGGTGGAAACCGCTTGCTGTGAACTAGTATTGTCTTTTTTTTGCATATAGTATGTTTGGCCTGACAGATTTCAAAGCGAACGAGAGGCTCAATTGATTTGAGTAACGCGTGTTTCGATAAAATCCTTCTAATGTTATTATAGTTACACTGTGTTAATCCTTTGTTTTGTTTAGTATTCACCAACAAAATTGTTCTATACATACAACAAACAAGAATATACACAGGTAAGATACACTGACCATTTCCATGTTAAATCATAGACAAATTGTTACCACGAAAAGATCTTACATCTAGCGCTAAATTTATTTTCTATTCTAAATTTATTTTCTAGTTCCTGACAGTTCGGTCGTGCCCTTACTTACACTTCGATATTTATTTTCCTCTTTTATTTCGAAAGTAGCATCTTCATATACGTACTTCTAGAACTGCAGAGCCCACGAGACGTCCGCATGCCGTTCTAATATTCGAAGCACAGTATTGAAAGTATTTGAACACTTCTGGAAACTTTTCATGAACATGTTACGCGAGTTATACAAAACACGTTCAGCTACTAAGGTTCCAAGAAGTTTTGTATAAACCACGCATTATATCCCTAAAAGTTCTTTATGACAAGTGTCCAAATACTGTCGTGAATCACCCTACCATACATATGAAACACCGACGCGAAGAAGAAATATAAGATCTCCCCAGAGGGAAAATCCCGTATAGATAGCCGTACCCGCAGGAAACAAGCTCTCTCAGAAAAGAGCAACGGCGAAGCTCAAAGAACGAGAGCTGCTCACCTTCGTGATGAGATCCTTAGCGCGGCTCTCGAACAGGTGTTCGAGCTTCTGCGTGTCAACAGGTACTGGCGACAGCTCGTCCCATATCATTTTGTTTTTGTCGAGCCTCGACAGTATGATGGGGTCATCCCTAACCTCCTTCCAGAACAGCTTCACCGTCTTCTTACTCTTCTTAGTGAAAGTCGGCAGTGGACTCTTTGGAGCATTGCTGGAGTCGACCGCGGTCGGTGACCTCGGCGACTTGAGATTCACGCCGAACAACGGTGGAGGCGCTTGCGGTACGGGTGGCGGTAGCCTCGCCCCTAGAGGTGGTGGCGGTGGTGCCCGTGCGCCACCAGGAGTCGGAACCATGGGCGGTGGTGGCGGTGGTACGCCGTTGGTCACGTTCACAGGTCCAAGAACGTCAACTTCGTCGTCGGAATTCAGATCGGTGAAGTCGAGGTCGCAGAGTTCGAGTGGCCGCTTCAGTTTCTTAACCAACTCCTCCCAATGCAGCTCGTTCTCGGATTTCTTCGCTTCTTGCAGTTTCGGCAGGCTGTCGCCGGTAGGAGACTTCAGCACGTCCGCTTTTGACTTGGACTTCGCCAGACCCTCCTTCGCCTTCGAGATCAGACCGCTCATGTCCCCTATCCTGAGGGTGAAGAAGAAGAACATTGCGATGACGAAGGGTTTGAATTCTGGGGATACGTTAGGTGGTGAGGCTTGAAACGTCGAGAAGATCGAGTTCCACTCGTTCTCTTTTTTTATCGAACGCGGACGTTATGTTTTAAGACGTCTGTAGGTTTCGCTATTTAAAGATATGTTTTTCTTTTAGAAGAGACCATGGTAATAGAATAACATCAATGGTAGTTCACTGAAGTTTGAAAGAAAAGATGAGTTAAGTATAATCTTTAAAACAGAATATATAATCCCATTTATTATCGTATATACCAAGAGATTTCGTTAATACCAGAAAGATTATAACAATCTAGCAATCTTTCTAAAAGTTATCTTTGGGTGTATTGTTCCACTAGACTCGCAAGGATTAATTTATTAAATACTTCACCCTTCTGTTCGTATAATTAATTTTTAATCAGCTTCGAAATTTTGATTCAAGATCCTTTTTGAAAAGTTTTAATTCTAATTTATGTACATAGACCTAATTTCGATATGGGTCTGTAGTATTCAGGAAAATGTTAACAAAACGATATTTATCTTCCTGATAGGAGAAAGAAGAAATCACGGATTCTGATCCATCTTAAAGCGAAACGTACGAACAGTGTTTCCTTAACGAGTCTTAATCTTTTCTATATATCGTACAGTGAAATTACCTGGAAACCTTCTCCTCGACCGGGCTGCTCGGTATAAGATTTTGAGCGGCCAGCTTTTGTGTGAGATCCTTGACGGTTCCTTCCCTCTTCAGTTGTAGAACCACTCGACGATCCTCATCCTCGTCGGTGTGATTACCCTCGTCGCACTCGACACCCTCGTCCGGGCTCTTGCCGTACCATGGTTTCTTCTCCTCGGAGTCAAGCTTGTTCGCAGCATTCATCAGAGGCGTCAAGTCTTTCCTGCTGTTTGTCCTGGATAACTTATTCGACGGCGAGTCCGCATTTCTTTCGTACGACGTGCCGTTAGTGTAACGCAGGCCGTTCGTCGCATAGGGACCTTCAGCAACCGAAAAGCCGTTCAATTATTTCCAATTAATTAATTTATTACTCTCTACGTTGCTTATTACGGTTTTAGTAGATAATTTGTTTGGAATTGCAGACAATAGTTTGACTATACGCGTACTATATTAACTTGTTTACAGGTATATTTCTTTACAATTCTGAAGTGTTCTAACTTCGTTGTTTTGTTTTGAAGTCAGAGATCATAAGTTTTGAAAGCTTCCACAGCTTCCGAACTTCGAAAAATTGTAGAATCGATGTTCACCGAGTTACGCGGAAAGAATCGAAAACTTAGGTTTGACGAGGATCGCTTAAAAATGCAAACAGAAACTGATCCTCCAACTACCACCCGAGAAACTAGTCGAGAGAAACTTCAAACAGCCCATGAGAACTATACACAAACATCTTTAAAAGCCTGGTAAAGTTACACAACTGAAAACATGGGTTTCTCACGAGTTAAAACGATACCAAGACTCGTTTATAACTCGTTAACGCTTGCTACTATTTTCTGTTGAACGGAAAATGAACAATTTCTCAAACTATAGAACTTAAATTCTACGTGATTTATTTCTTCATATTAGGTTCTCGATAAAGAATCTCGATCATAGTATGTAATAAAATTGTAATTGAAATAAAATTAATAACTAGGTAAATAAATTAATAATCGATCAAAATATATCTTTCATTTCTTCAAATATAATCATTGATACAAAATCCCAATTATAATATATATTTAATGAAATTTTAATTGAAATAAAATTTTGGATAGAAATAAAATTAGCAACAAGATTGAATCTAGATATTTTTATTGTTTTATAAGTGTGTAGAATTGATCGTTATAACACTGGTCAGTATATAGCGTTTAAAACAGAATTACAGCAGCGTATCTCATAAATTGCGTGTATCGATTACTTCCTGCCGATACACTGCGCTTTATAACCTTGACCTATCCTCATAACATCTTTCTTAACTTTCTCGCATCTGTTCAGAAATCTCTCAAATTCGCGCTTTTCTAACATTCCCTAATCTTTTACGATGAAAGACATGGAACCTATCTTTCATTATAAAACCTACGATTATAATAAGTTTCCAATAAAATCTGTTAGCTTAAAAATCTATTTCAGACTCTCGTAAAAATTACCAAATTGTGTTTCAGTTTGGTAAATGTTTATGTAAAAGTTCGATGATCTAAGATATAAAATCTACGATATCTATTCACATAAAATCTCAATCAGATTATTTTCTCTTCCATATGTTTTTGCTAAATTCTGTATCTACCTAGCTGTTATATAATCATTAAATCATTCATTTAAATCAATTTCCTCCGAGAAGCAAAAATTCTCCCGTAAACTTCAATAAAAGTATAGAGAAGTAAACTTTGTACGAATATTATTCGTTTTATCATACAGAAATTCGTATACCGTGAAAATCCGATAAAGCGAACACGTTAAACGAAATTCTCATTACTTCCCCATTAATGGTAATAGTGAAACGATAATAATCTATTACTGACTTTCCTGATCGTCCGAGGGTACCACGGATGCTCGCATAGTCGCTGTGGCCTCTTGCTGCTCCCTGATAAAGCTCCTCTGCCTCTCAGCTCGTTCCCTTCGACGTCTTAACGCCGGTGTCACGCCAACGTCCACTGAAAGTCGCAATAAATCACTTCTTTCCTGGCCCGTTCGCCGCCAATACATACACGCGGCCGATCATTTTCCGCGTCGAACTATAATTTACTATTTACCAGGCGCGTGGTTACGCGACACCAAACCGCTTATCGCGCGATCGTTTTCGTTCGCGTCGAATCACACTACCGCCGAACTTTCATTTTGATTTATCGGTCGCGATACGAATCGAAACGTCCCTCGACGACAGTCACGATAAATTCTGCTCGTCACGCGTGTCATTTCTTCGCGGTTCGAGCTCGCGCCAAAAATACGCGGTGTATCAATTATTTCGTCGACCCTATAGTTGATGCGACGCTCGACACCGTATCCTCGATTATTCCATGCACGTTACTGCCGGCGAATCGGTTGGAAAATTTCACGCAGAATTTTGTGAACGCTCGTATAACGCTGTTTCACTTTGCCGTTCTGTGCAATTTTATTCGATTGCCGTGTAAGTTCTGTATAACGAAGAACATTCCTCGTTAGTGGTTTATATAAACCACGCGATATACGAGCGGCTTAGGGAGAAAGTGGTACGAGTGACAATTTTTAGTTTGAAAATTGTGGATGAAGTTG